GTTGGTGTAGTCAGAGTCCTCCTTTTCATCTGACAAACAGGCCCAAGTTATCTAAGTTAGCATATTAGCTCTTCTTGCTTAACTCGGTGTTCTGAGCTTTCAGCTGAGTTAAGTGTCTGCAGCTGAAATCCATGGATGCAGCAGACACTCACATCCTGTCCAGTTTTACATCTACGTATTTCAAACAGGACAGTCAGACACTGAGCACCCTTCAGAGCTTGTTGGCAAGTTTGAAAAGCCTGACCCATAGGAAGTGTAGACAGAGGCCATAGTTGTTTCACTGGTTCTGGGAATCTTTCCTCTAGTTCAGTGCTATCTGGTTTAGACTGAAGAAGACAATGGGAGAAACCAAATGCCCAGCTTAATGGTGAAAGCTGCACACATTCAGCTTTTTAATTCTTAAGAGGATACTAAAACATGTCTGCAAAAGCTGTTACTGCTCATATCTGTCATTAACTAAGTACTTGAAGCAAACATGAATTCCACAACACAAAGTGATTTCTAAGGGTGAGATTTTAAAAGGGCTCTGAGTTCAGTCTAACCTGTTCCAAATAACATGAACAAGTTTGTTTTGAGTTTGGCAAACGCAAAGTACTTTTAAAATATCTCATAGAAGACACTAGTCAATAGTTTAAAATATCCTATGTATGGGCTTTCTGCATGCATTCTGTAAATGTATACTTGAGTAGCATCGCTGCATGCTTCGTGTTAATATTTCAGTGTGGTTATTTGTTAATGCAGTTGCATGCAATATTGTCATGTCAAGTTTTGTCATTTGAATGTCCCCCTCAATATTTTTACAAGTGCTGTGATGTATCAAACAATAAGAAAATACCATTAGATACAGATAAGTATATGTGTTTACGTAAAGATCAAATCAGTCCTTCAAACTGACATCAACCAGTCTGTTGCAACAAAAGTCATTACAATTTAAAGAGATCAGTAAGAAATGAGCCTATTGCTTTCATTGCAAAGCCTCACTCCATAAATAATCACTTCGATTTCAGTGCCTGCTCAGCAAGTGCAGTGGTATCAGAGGCCAGTCCTCATCTGGTGACTGAAGACATGTGCACGAGCTGATCATGCCAAGTGCTGAGCACTCCTGTGAAAACTATGGACTTTCAGTCTATAGTCGGCTTGATGGATCAGGCTTATAGGTCATACATATTCATAAAGCTTTGCAGAGGAGAGGGACAGTCACAAGCTGAGGTTAGGAAAGCAGTTTTTAATTGCATGAAATATAAAATAGACATAAGACTCAAAAATTTGGAATCAATTACCTGGCAGTGATAAATCTCCTCTGGAAAAAGAGGGGAGCAACAAGAATTTGAAACAGGAATGGGGAATGATGATAAACCATTGCAGCAACCTAATTCAGCATCACCCCATAGATGCTGTGCAGTTCCATCCTGAAATGTCAAGTCTCTTCTCTGCTGAAATTGCTAGTCTCCATGTAAAACTGCTTCCACAGGTAGACCTGAAGAACCTTGTTTCTGTTACCTTTCAATTTATGTTGAGTGGTGACTTCACTGATGCAGGCTGTGAGAGAGTGGCACTCCCCTGCTCTCACACAGTGCTATCACAGGCAATGGCTGTTATTTGTCCATCTTCCTTCCTTGAACACCTGGCAAGTCATGGGTGACAGGAGGTTTTGACTTGATCAGGCTCACAGGGATCACTGAGAACAGGACCCACATTTCCAGTCTTTCACTCTCAGGCTCAATCTCTTACTTTTCAGTGGCTGCCTTATTTACCCTACCTCATGTGTGGTTAGAAGTATGAGTAGATAAATTTCCTCTTCAGAGTGTAAATATGCTGCAGCCTCCTCACGTTTCCTCTTGCTGTTTCAGGCAAATATATGCTTGCCAATGAATACTTAAGAAATACCACGAGGAGGTCAGATCGAAGTGGCACCTAATCCTGTCTCCTGCACTGACAGTGCTTGGCAGTGGGAGCTAAAGATCAATAAAGCCCAGGGTATTGAAGAAGTCCCTGGAAGCACCAAGAACTGCTGAGCCTGACCTGTTGAGAGTGAGGTGAGTCCAGTCACCGGCCACTCTCCCACACAGACTCAGGCCAGAACTGATGTTTAGTATGAGATGTGCCACCATCCCCTATAGGTCAGTCTGCTTTAGTCTTTCTCTCACGTGGTGTCTCAGTCAGCAGTACATGGTTGACCAACCATAGGCAAAAACAGGAGAGAACAATTGAGATAATCTCTGGGCATGTGCCCAATCTCTTTGGTGTCCCATACAGCAGAACTGCAGTGCTTGTGATGAACCAGGGGCCTGAGTATCCCCTTGGGAGGCAGAGTTCAGCACTGGGTAATTGGTCTCTAGCTTTACACAGAAAACTTTCCATTTTACCACTGGCATGGCTGTGGAAACACATCACCAGATGAATGCAGTTCTGAGCAGTGTTCCAGGAAAAGTCAAAAGCTGCCTGCTCTGTCTGTTCTTTTGGGGGAGACCAGGGGTAGCATCAGGTTTGCCTAACAGAATTGCTGTGTTACTCATCCACAAACTAGAGGAGAAGAGGTTTAGTGGACTGCCACCAGTACCAAATGCCCCTTCTCATTCTGACTCTGAGAAGTTAAGCTGTTAAGATTTGGGGGTTTTTATTTCATTTGCAAGGTATAAAAATAAAGCTCCTGAACAGCTCATTCTTTTGGATGAATGCTGATTATCCTACATCATAGCAAGAGGATATTCTAGTAGAACTTGTGTGATGGCAGGGCATCAAACAAAATCTAAGCACATATGCCTTTGCTTTACAGCCTCTTTTCAAAGCTTCCTCCCTTCTCTCTTATCACTTTTGAAATTCAATTGCACTGCACCTTCTGCTCTGCCTTATCAATAAAGAGCTGTCATCACACATAGCTGTCAAAGCAAAAGAGCAAACTGTTGTCAGCAGATATGCACACAGCAGCCCACTTAGCTACAATGACATTCCCAGTCAGTCCTTGATAACCAAGCTTAGAGAAAGTTGCAGAAATCAGTTACAAAATTCTCATTTGATAGTCATATATATGTAAACAATTAATTAATAAAGCACTATTAAAAAAAATCCTGTAGCTGCTTCAGCATCTCTGTGCTGTGGGAGAAAGAGT